CGCCCGACCCGCCCGACACCGACCAGGCACAAGATGGCGGCAACCAACGGACATGCCAACGGATCTCTCGATCCCTACACCAAGACGTGCCAGGATGTGTCTGGACCCAATGCCAATCCGCGCGCCAAGTTCGTCCTCGACAGCCTCATGAAGCACCTCCACGCCTTTGCGCGCGAGGTCCAGCTCACCAACGAAGAATGGCTCGGCGCCTGCGACCTGCTCATCCGCTCCGGCCAGATGTCCGACGATCGCCGAAACGAGCTCATCCTCATCTCGGACGTGCTCGGACTCGAGTCCCTGGTAGACAGCATGGCCTACGAACGCGCACAAGCCTCGTCCTCCTCCAACAAGCCCACCTCGGACGTCGAGGCCACCCAGAGCGCCATCTTGGGTCCCTTCTTCCGTTCCGGCGCACCCAAGTACGAGGCCGGTGCAGACATCGTCCTCGACCATTCCATCAAGAGCAAGGAGGGCAAGACCGGCGAGACTTGCTACATGCACGGCACCGTCACCGACGCAGCCACAGGCAAGCCCGTCGTAGGCGCCGTCATCGACGTCTGGCACACTGGCCCCAACGGCCTCTACGAACAGCAGGACCCGGATCAGCCCGACTTCAACTACCGCGGCAAGTTCACCACAGACGACAACGGCCAGTATGCGCTGCGCTGCCTCAGACCCACCGCCTACCCCATCCCCTACGACGGCGGCGCAGGCGACATCCTCAAGCTCCTCGACAGGAGCCCCATGCGTCCCGCCCACATCCACCTCCTGATCGAGGCCAATGGCTACAAGCAGCTCGTCACCCAGATCTTCGACTCAAAGTGCGACTACATTGGTGCAGACGCCGTCTTTGCCGACAAGAGCGCACTCACCGTCGACTTTGCCCAGCCCACCGCTCCCGAGGCCAAGAAGTTCGGCACGCACACCGAGGTCACCTACGACATCCGACTCGTTGCCGACAACTAGGAAGCTCGACACGACTCGCCCCACTCTGTATTCGTACCCAATTTCTCGCAATCCACAGTCCACTTTGACCCACCTCATGTGTGCAGTCCCGGTTGACGTCTGAGTGCGGCTTCAGAGGTGCATTCCGATTCAACATCCGAGAGCGAATGACAGACGAGGCTGGCATCGACACAGGCACCACCGGTCTCAGGAAGAAGCGCCGCGCACCCAGCGCTGCAACTCCTGTTCGACGTGGCGCGACCGCCGTTGCGTGCGCTGCGAGCCGCGAGCACCGTAGCGCCCCTGGCTGTCACCCTCGCCAAACGCTTGCTTCTCGAACTCTTCCGAATCGGCTTCCCCCTCGAGCTCGAGGTAGTCGTCTTTCGAAAGTAGCAGGTGGTTTCCCGCCAGTCCGCCACGCATCTTGCCTACAGGCGCAGAGGGCCTGGCGTCCGACTCCTCGAATACCGACATCGTAGAGAGCAACTTGCGCACGCCTTTCCATGTCTCTACGTCCGCCTTGGGTGCAAAAGAGTGGTTGGACGCATCCAGCGCCAGCGCCGTCACCTTTCCGAGATTGTTCAGCAAGCCCAGCCTGCGCGCTGGAAGTGTCTTCGCGGACGCTTCGCCGTCGGCCACCGTGGCGTTCATCTCGTTTTGCAGCTTCCGTGTGGCTCGGACAAGCTCCTCCAAGCCAAACTTCTCTTCGAGAAGCGTGAGAGCTTCTCGCGCGATCAAGTCGCCCTGGTTCGCGTGCTTGGCCGCGCAGACATGCGCAATGTTGAGGAAGAACGACACCATCGCATTGAGGTGGATGCGAGCCATCCACTCGGGCGCCCTTTCCGGTGCCTCCAGCTGTCTTCGGCTTGCAGTGTCGCCGCGGCCATCTGTGCCAAACTCGTGTCCTGCCGCCTGACTCTTAGCTCGCACAGAACCGCCATTGGCCTTCCTGGCGCTGAATTCGACCAGGAGCGTCTTGGCTTCAGTCCATGGATCGTAGCTAGGCTTGCTCGCATGTGAAGCGACATCCGCGTGCGGTTCGGGGGCGGCAGCCTCTTTCACAATCGCGGCTGTTAGTCCCGCAGGTCGCCTCTGCGTTGCCACCATAATTGCGCGCATGACCCGCACGTAGGAGAGGTCGGCTGGTTCCCAGTCTTGCACCTCCTCCTCGGAGCTGTCTGAAGGGCGCGCGCGGCGGTCGCCTGATCTACGTCTGGATGGCCCTGCCTGTTGTGCGGCGGCTCGCTTCATGCCTCGGAGGATCACGCGCGCACCAACCGGGTCGCCAGCGTCTCCCAGGACCCACAGGAGTCTGAGCGCGTTGGAAGCTTGGAGCAAGTCGCCAAAGACGGGTTTGTCGGCCGTTGCATCGAGCAGAGCATCGCGTTGCTCCGAGCCGCCATGATCTTCGCTATGTGCCCTCGACCAAAGGTAGTTGAACAGCGCCACGAAGTGTTGCCAGGGCTGCGCGACGGCCAAACCGCGCAACACGCTTCCAGCGGTCCTCCCGTCTTTCAATTCGGCGAAGCCTCGGTCACAGCCTTGCTCGATGTCGTCATGCGACAGCAGGTACCGAGCGGGCCCAAAAGAGTCTGAGAAGCTGCTAGACTGAGGGTCCCTGACAATACCGTCCGCGGTTGATTCAAGGTCGAGGCCGTAGACCCTGGCCAGGATGGAGAGGCCGAGGCGCATGTTCGACTTGGCATCGACCTCCGACGAGTTTGACGTGCGGATGAAGAAGTCCGACACAAGTCGATCATCGGGCCTGAACCTGAATTCGCTTGTTCTCGAGGCTGCTTCGGAGACTTCTGCCGCATCCGCCTTGCTTCGGGAGCGTCGTGGTGGGTCGGCTTGAGGTGTGTGCATGGTTGCTTGTTGACGCTCAATCTCCATGAGCTGGAGACAGAGCGTCCAGATCCTTTTGAAAACCGCTTGATGCTCCCGATCCCTGGTGTCCCTGTGAAGGATCAGAATAGGCGTGAAGGTGCTGACGTGGCCAAGAGGCAAGCAGTCTGAAAGTTTGCGGTTGGCCAGCTCAAGCTTGTCCTGCGACGATGCGTCCGGTGCCAGACCTCTAGCCAGCCTTTCGATCAGGGCTGACGGGAAGAGTCGATCCAAGATCTTGATCTGATCCTGGCTGCGACCAATGCAGCGCAGGAAGTTGAGGTAAGAGTTGATGGCGTTCGTCAGCAAGCGTGGGAACTGCTGGGCTTCGTGTACACTGGACTGCTGCGACACGAGGTTTCGACGGGCCTGGTCAGAGAGCTTGTGGAAGCTGTCTTCGTCGATCGTGAGGATGGATTTGAAAGGAGGAGCGCCGCTGCCACGCTGGAAGTACTGAGGGAAAGCTTGTTGCCAGAGCTTTTCGAGCTCCTCGAATGCTTGCTCGGCGCGTTGTGTCAGATTTTGCAGGGCCGTCTCATTCTCGACGCTATCGCCAGCAGCCGATGAGAGGTGATGGCGCGGGTGCATGCGCGAGAGGCCTTGAATGACGATCGTGTAGGTAGAGGCACTGGGAAAGATGCCGTCCTTCTTCATCTGGTTGACAAGTTTGATGGCACGCTCGACCCTGCCAGCCCTGAAGCAGAGGCGTATCGCCGCGTTGTAAGGTGCCTTGATGCGAGATGCGGATTTCCAAGCGTTGTCTGGATCGATGAGCACGTCTTTGGACTTGACCATGACACGAAGCGCTCTCATCTCGTTGTCGAAATGGTCCAAGGCTGCGTTGACGTCGGTTCCAGGCCGAGCGGCCTCTCCGATGGCTCGATCAGCGGCAGCAAGATGGTCGAGCAGCTTCTTGGCTCTGAGGCGAAAGCCGAGCTGCGTCGAACGCTCGCCATCATCGGAACGCCGTGGCCGGTCCGAACGAGCTACAGCCCCGGCGTGCTTGCCGCCGGACTGCTTGACACTGCTTCTTGGTTCACGTGCTTTGCCGCCAGGATGCTTGACGACGCTTCTCGATTCACGTTCCTGGCGGCCTCTGGGAGAGTCGAGAGACTGGTCAGGGGCAGTCTCGCTCCACTTGTTGGATTTACCAAGCCTCCTCAAGACAGCCTTGAGATTGTGCGCAGAGCTGACCGTCGGGCCGTTTGACTGAGATCGTGACTGAGATCGAGGAGCTACCGCTCGTGCGGGCGACTGGGTGGAGAAGGCTTGCGTGAAGGCTGCCGGTGCGAGGAAGGCGGGTGGTAGCATGGGTGTGCTGACCACGGCAGCCGTGCTTGCCCCACCTGCTCGAGCCAAGCGGTATATGGGCCGCGGCAGCCCGGCCGCCTTACGACTGCACGCCATGATTTTGCTGTCCGATTCTGGAAGGGAGCGGGTGTTCCCAGAGGTCGGTGCGTGATCGAGGATGCGATCGACTTGGTGGATTCGGAGGAGAGGGCTCCAAACCCGTCGTCGACAGAAGAAGACTCCACTCGGATTTTTCTCACGCCGCCCATGCATGAGGAAAAGAAGAAAGGGTCCAGGAGGAAACAATTTTGAAAGGTGTTAGACCTCCCTTTACCACACCGCAGAATTTCGGATCCGAATTGGCGCTGCGCTGATTGGCCCGTGATCGGAAGCTTGAATGGAGAGCTTCGCGTGATGTTCATGCTGCTCTGCTTCTTACCGCATCCCACCCTCCATTCTGGCCACCGCATCTCTCTTCCGTCGACTTGCTCGGTTCAGTCTCGCACACTCGCGCGCTCGTAGGGATCGACAAACGACCGTCCGACTCTTTCGCAGCTCTCGACCAACTTCAGTCGGCCCGAAACTTCCCAACATGGCCACACACCGCGATGCCAAGTTCCCAGGGAAGCCCTACATCGACCCGGCTCCCATGCCGGCCAGCCAGCCACATATCGATGAGCTCGGCGTGACCTCGGCCCCGCTCAAGTCCGCCAGCTTCTTCATCGGCTCGCACTGCAAGGATGTCAACGAGGACTTTATGCTTTGCAAAAACGAGAACCGCGACCCTGCACACTGCCTCAAGGAGGGTCGCCGCGTAACCCGATGTGCGCGTGATCTGTAAGTATGCCAAGCTAGCCAAGATCGCCTCAGTCGAGCTCTGGCTCGTGCGCGAGCCAAAGATCAGAGCGGACTTGTGCCAAGAGCAAGGTGGAGGCCGATCGCGATCACTGACCAGCCTCTTTGTTTCGAACGCGATACCCTTCCTTTGCGCTCACACAGCATCAAGAAGCTCAGCGACAGCTGCGGAAAGGAGTGGGAGGCCCACTACCAATGTCTGGAGCAGCACAACCAGGAGTTCTACAGGTGCAGGAAGCCAGAAAAGTCGCTCAACCAGTGTGTCTTCGACAAGCTCGTACGTAGTCTCATCATCTCCGCTTCTGCTTTGGACCCAGGTCTGACAATGTATGGTGACCCGCTGCGCTCCTCATCACTGCTACCAGAAATTGGCCAAGAACATCCCGGGATCGCCAGAAGGACAGGCGCAGGTCCACGAGAAGAAGAACCCCGTCTTTGGATGAGCGCCTTCCCGCCACTGATCTAGACACCAGCTCTGCACCTTTTCGCTCCATCACGCAATCCGACTGTACCATTCTTCAGCTACTTCTGGGTCTGGGCTTATTCTGCACATCAGCAAGGCTGGAGCCGCGGCGGCAGAAACCGAGGCGCTTTGGGGCAGGACATCTCAACCTGCAGCACCCCGGAAAGACACTCTTGACACGGATGGCAATCGTCGTACATCCTCAGCATGCGATTCGTTCCACGTCTGACGACAAAGGAGAGATGCATACTAGGCAGACGACAAGGACTCTTCAATCCATTGTCGCATCTGACTGCCCGCCTGTTGGGTGGAGAGGGAGCCGCCAACGTCACGCGTGCACTGGCCCGTCTCGAGACTGCGCTTGATGGCGGCGTCGATGGCATCGGCCATCTCGGAAAGGCCGAGCGACCAGCGACACATGAGGCCAAACGACTCAAACATGCCGATCGGATTCGCAATGCCCTTTCCGGCAATGTCTGGTGCCGATCCCGAGACGGGCTGGTAGACGCCGACCGGTAATCTGCCCGAGGATGAAAGCGTCGGCGGAGCATCGATCTCGGCCGACCCCAGCAGGCCGAGTGAGCCGGGAATCACCGACGCCAAGTCGCTGAGGATGTCTCCGAAGAGCTAGAGCAGGAGGTGAACCAAGAGCAAGGCAAAGGGATGAGAGCGTCAGACAGCCATCGAACATCGCGACAGCGGATGCTGGTTTGAGGCACTCACGTTCTCGGTGAGAACGACTCCGTTGAGCTTGCGGGGATCACGAGCCAGCACCATGGCAGCGGAATCGACGAGGTGATGGCTCAACTTGGGAACCAGCTGCGGAAACTCATCGCGGATGGTCTCGGTCACCACCTGGCGCCAGAGGCGCGAGGTAGCCATGACGTTGGCCTTGTCGACCGAGATGATGGGCAAGGGATCTGCGCCGTTGGCAAGCGACAAGGCGGCTGCCACCCTCGTGAGGCGCGCCACCTCTTCGCGCGTATACTCACAAAGGTCGGAAGCTAACGGAATCGGTGAATCATGACGGTCAGCTGCGTGCGCCATGGGGCGTGTACCGGAGCAGATGGTATGGTAAGGGCCTACCTTTCATCGCTTGTGAGTCGGGCTCTTGCTTGCGTCCAAAGTAGATGCCGCCGGCGTTCTCGCGCAAGGTGATGATGTTGACGCCTCTGACGACGTCGTCCTTGAGCGAGCTGAGCTGAAGCTGGCGCTCTGCTACGATTCTGGCCGGTCGGACATTGGCGTAGAGCTTGAGGTGCTTGCGCATGCGCAGGATGCCTGTCTCGGGTCGACGGCTCGAGTCACCCACGTCCCACTTTGGTCCGCCGACACTGCCGAGTAGAACAGCATGGCACGTCGATGCTTCTTCCAGCGTGCTAGCTTGGATAGGGCAATCGTGGGTGTCCAGGCAAGAGCCGCCGATGAGGCGCTCTACGGTCTCGATCGCGACCGAATAACGAGATTGAACGAGTTGGAAGAGGGGCAGCACCTCTGCCATGATCTCGGGGCCGATGTGATCGCCTTGGAGCACCAGGATCTTGAACGCCTTGGCGGCGCCTGGCTGAGGTTGGCTGACGGACATCTTGAAGCAGTTCGAGTCGGAGCACGGTGATGGGAGGTGAACAAGAGTGATCCGCCTCGATTTCAATGAAACAACTCTTCTTGCTGACTGGTGGAGATGGAGCTGGCGAAGTTCTGGCACAGGATGGACCCTTGTGCGAGCGGGATTGCGGCCTTTTTGCCATGCATGCCTGGGCGCGGTGTCGGAATTAGGACGCCCTTTTCCCCCCGCGTGCCAGGAACGAGTGTGGGGCGAGTCCTAATCCCGAAGAACAATAGAGAGGATGCTCAGACAGTCGCCAGCTACAGCGTCCTATTCCGCCGCACAGCAAAGCATGTCACCCTCTCGAAGGGGGCTTGACAGGACGATGCTCGCTTAAACAGCCAGTGCAGTCGTGGTCGGTCGGTTGTCCAGCGCAAAGCACAGAGACACCCCCGACACCCCCACACCACATCAGACCCGATGGCCGAGCAGTACGCAGATTTGGATCCGTGCAAATCGCCGAAATAGCGAGGATGGGCGCTGCCAAGCGCTCCGAAGTTGTCGCTCGCCTCTCATCTTTGCGCCGCCCACGACTTGGCCCTTCAAGCGTCTGGCACAGCTGACCACTTTCTCAAACGCTCACTCCCCCCAGCATCCAGCCAGGTCTGTCAGCCACGCTCTCCGTCGCCGATCGCAAGCGTTACTCGACACGCGGCGGCCGCTTCGATACTTAACAGCAGAAAGCAGCAACCAACTCCTTCTAGCTCGCCCGCTCCACCTTCGCCCGTTCTTCCTCTTCCTCCATCCACCCGCCCACTCCATCGGCTCAGCAAACCGCGATCGAGACAACCGGACCCAGGTCCAAGCAAACTCACCAGCTCCGACTGCAAACCTTGTTCCCACCCGCTTGCTCCTACGCAACCTTGGCGACGACACGGCGTCGACGCTGCACAGAAGCCAAACAATGAACACCAGACTCAAAGACATGTCCTTGCTGGACGCCGCCGACTTCCTCAAAGGTCCCGAGTCGCTCGAGGCTTCGGACAACGAGTCATTTGATGTGATGGGTGAGTCTGCCATTTCCGACCACAGCCCCGCTCCAAATCACTCGCACTCGCGTCTTTGTCGGGACTGCCGCTGACAGCGCGATGCTTTCTCCTCTTTGCTCATCCCTGCAGATCCTGGCTCGGGTATGCCGATCTGCAGCATGAAAGCTTCCAACCTCAAGGACGTGGACCGTGCGATTCAGGCAGCCAGCGACGCCTTCGCCTCGTATTCGGCGCTTCCGGCGCGAGAACGCGCCACGTTGCTGCTCAACTTTGATCGGCTCGTCCGAGACAACCTCGAGGATCTCGCATGGATCCTCGTCTACGAGACGGGGAAGCCGCTCGAGGAGGCGCGCGCCGAAGTGCAATATGCGCTCACCTTCAGCTGGTGGTTCGTCGGAGAGACCGAGCGCGTGCAGGGTCAGGTGGTCAAGAGCGCCACCAACCCTTCGCTCCGCTTCCTCACCGTGCTTCAACCCGTCGGTCCGGTGGCCATTCTCACGCCGTGGAACTTTCCCGTGGCGCTCTTCATCCGCAAGGCCGTCAGCGCGCTCGCCGCAGGCTGCACCATCGTCGCAAAGCCTTCGCCAGAGACGCCGCTCTCTACCCTCGCCGTTGCCAACCTTTTGCATCGCGCAGGCTTCCCCTCGGGCTCGGTCAACATCGTCTTGGCATCCTATCGCAACACACCGGCCATTGGACAGGCGCTGTGCACCGACCCTCGCATCAAGAAGCTCTCCTTCACCGGAAGCTCCCGCGTCGGCCGTCTGCTCATGCAGCAGTGCGCACCCTCGCTCAAGAAGCTGACGCTCGAGCTCGGTGGCCTGGGCGCCTACCTCGTGTTTGAGGACGCCGATGTGGATGGTGCCGCTGCTGCCCTTGTAGCCAACAAGCTGAGGCACGCCGGTCAGACGTGCATCTCGGCGCAGCGTGCCTTCGTGCACGAGTCGGTCGTGGACCGCGTACTCAAGTGCATCGCCGCCAAGCTTGACCAGGTCCAGCTTGGCCACGGCTCCCAAAGCACCACCACCCTCGGCCCACTCCAGACCGAACGCAGCCAGCAAAAGGCACGCGAACACATCCAGGACGCCAGAGCCAAAGGCGCCACCATCTACACCTCGACCGCCGCTGTCCCCAGCGCAGGCTACTTTGTAGCGCCTACCCTCATCGCCGGATGCACAAAGGACATGCTCGTCTTCCAGGAAGAGTCGTTCGGACCTTTGATCAACGTCGCCACCTTCCGAACTGAACAAGAGGCCATCGAGCTCGCCAACGACACTGACATGGGACTCACCTCGTACGTCTTTACCAAAGATTCCGCGCGACTGTGGCGCATGTTTGAACAGCTCAAGGCGGGCAACGTCGGCCTCAATGTGGGCGGTAGCACCACCGCCGCCGAGATCCCCTTTGGCGGCGTCGACCAGTCTGGATTCGGTAAGGAGGCCGGTATCGGTGCGGGTCTCAAAGAGTACATGATCGAAAAATCAGCAACCATGTCGATAGCCTAGAGCCAGTCTCTCTCTCTCCCCTCCCCAACCGTCCACCCTCATACTTCATTGCTGGAATCATGGAAATCTCTCTTATCGTGCTGCGGCCTGCTCGCACTTGGAATCATCACCCACTCATTTTGACGTTACTGCAGGGTCGGCTAGCTGTGCTCCGATCATACACCCAACGCGCCTCCGAGGTCGAAGCTCGCCCATGCATCAGTGCATTGTCGCCGTCGACAATGGCTCCAGCCACCAGTGGAGCGCCTTTGCGGAAGTGCCATTGTGTGGATGAAGTGACTTAGCTCGAGGTCGTGGCGATAGATGCTTAACCTCAAACGCAACCATGCGAGGCGCTTGCGGCGACAAAGATGACGGACGGCAACGCGCGGTGGCGGCGGGACGCGTGCCGAGCGGTCATGAGGCTTTCCCACGCTTGGCTCAATACCGAGCATGCCCGAGTCGTCGAGACCTGCGCCGTCCCGCGCCTCCTCTTCCGAATTCCCCTCTATAGCACGCTCCAGGCATGGTCAATCTTGAGTTGAGGAGCAAAAGCGAGCGTCGCTCGGTGGTACAATACCATCCCACATACAGCAGACGTTCCCGACATGTCGTACGTAGCGACCTCAAGGTTGCCGCACACGACGATGCTTTGATGCATATGAGATAAACTCTCCGTCTGAAGCTGTCTAAGGACTGCTGACATTTCGGTTGGCGATCGGTGGCGGGAAGCGAAGATCAGGCGATGGTGAATCTGTAGAGTGACTTGGTTCATCGTCTTGGATTGCTGCTGGGGTCGCGCTGCTGCTGCTGCAGCTGTCGCTGCTGCAGATGATGGACCCTTGAAATGCGGCTTAGTGCCCGCAGGGACCCCATGCTGCATCACTTTTCGGAGATAGGCCCTCTTGGCGCAGCGCCAAAGCTCTAATTGGCCTTCGCCGACGCGCCTCTCGCCTGTACTTCCACCATCCTGATCCCCTCCCTCTTCGGGCGCCTCGCCCGTACTGTCGGCCCTTGGCCTCGCTCTCCTGCCTTAATAACGCGCGTGTCAATCCTATTGTTGCGACGCCGCAGCATAAGTACATCGGAGCAGCATGAGTCCCAATCGGTCCCGCACGAAGTACTCGGCCTCGACCTCCGGCGCAGCATATCCAGGCGAGTCGAACGGCAATCCGCGCGGCACTACTAGCACCGCCAGCACCAGCACCAGCGCCAGCAACATCAGCGAGGCCAACGGTAGCTTTGCTAGCACCAGCAGTGCGGCCTTCGATCATTCCAGCCGCAGCAACTCGTACATCCAGGACAACGGAAAGCGAAACCGATACCAGTATAGCTGCCTACAATGCCAACGCCGCAAGCAGCGATGTAGTCGCACCTTCCCTTGCGAAAAGTGTATGCAACGTGGCATCGCGCATCTCTGCTCGCCGCCGTCCAATCTTCACCGGCCCTCACGACGCATTCGCATGCGCCAGAAACGCGCCCTGGCCGCCTCGAGTCAGGATCAAGATACCAGCAAGCAGACACTCAACCAAGACATGGATGACATGGACACGTACGAGCTCGACGACGAGCCCGACTCGCTCTCTCCTGACGCTCCTCACGACACGCCGGCCAGCAGACGTGACGGAGCGTCTATGCAGTCGAACCACCCATTCAACCAGGTCGGGGCGACCGAGCATTCCTTCAGCGTCTTCTCAACGCAGCACAAGTCGCACGAGCACCAACAACCACTCCATCAGAACTCCCAGGACGCCAGTCATACGTATGCTCCCTATCGACCACAGCACGTCTCACCAATGTCCCCTCCTCGGTATCTGCACAATGCCAGCCTCGCTCAAGATCGGCGCTCGCAAAACTTCTTCCACATGCATCCACATGCCGATGCCGCACCTCTAACAAGCACACCTGCTGGTACAAACGCCGTCGCAAAAGCTCGTGCGCTACTTTCCTCGTCGAATCGATCTCTGATGAGCCAACACAGCTCCTCGGACATCAGCACCTCTCCGATTCACGATGTAGGAGCCTTGCAAACACTCGCAGCTTCGTCCACGCTTCCAACACGCGGTCTTGCTCCTGACAACCGTACGGATGCTCTGGCACAGCTTGCCACCGTAGCACAGTGGCCTTCACTGCAACAGCATGAAACACACTTGGCCTCCATGAACAGGCCCATGCCAGAGGCTTCAGCCACGGCGTCAAGCCCGGATCGTGCTTTGAACAGCGCTGCCGGTGCTTCTGGGCGCCCGTTCGGGTCGGCTATCGGACTTCCTGCGCCTGCTTCATCGCGCAGCTGGCAGAGCGCGCATGGACCCGAGTCGGACCAGCGCAGCATGGTCGATGCTGACGATGCCTTCATTGGCAAGCCTGCTCTGAACGGACTCGGCTGGAATCCGTTTCGTCGGCACGAGGGCATTGGCACCGACCTCCTCTCCTGGACCGGCCAGCTGGGCCGCGGATTCGGTCTGGTGATCCCCAAGTACGAGCTGCGCTCGGTGCAGCAGTCCCTTCCGAGCAGGTCAGAGGCTCATAGGCTGCTGCAGATCTACCTGGACGATTTCAACTGGTCACGCTTCCCCGCGAGCCCGTCAGAGCTGCTCAAGGCAGTCAATGCATGCATCGACCACTGTACCATTTCGGACGACGTTCAGATGCTGCCTCTCATGGCTTACTGCCTGTCCATCTTTGGACTCGCTACGCTCGACCTGGCGGTGCGTCCCTATCCGACGCGGCCATCGCGTACTTACTTTTTCGCCGCACGCAAGGCGCTCTCGCTGTCGGAAAGCCTCGGCCTGCACACGCTCGACTCGCTGTCGGCGTCGCTGAACTTGTGTCGCTACCTCGACCTATGCCGTGTGCCACGGTCGACCTGGTTGCAGGTGGCTTCGTGCATGCGTGGTGCCATCGATCTCGGTCTTCATCTCGATGGCGCGCATCTCGGGCAGAACTGCGCCGCAACATTGCACCGACGCGTGCTCTGGTCTCACATTGTCCACCAAGACCGCGAATGGAGCGTGCTCTTTGGACGCCCCATGACCGAGATCCCTCATTCGACGACTCCGGTCGCAACACTCGAGGACTACCTGAACTTTGGCCTCGACCTGGCGTGCGCACAGTACCTTGTAGTTCGGGACGCTTTTCGCGTATTCATCGAACGTATCTCGCGCCTCTTTCAAGAGATCGCCGCCAGTTCCAACTCTTCGCCCTCCTCGCGCATCTACGATCGTGCGCTCGAGATCGACCGGGACATCATCGAGTTTACGAGTTCCCTGCCGCCGTGCATCTCGTCTGCCTCACCGTCATCGGGCGGAGCGATGAGACAGCAGGATTTTGCCACCACCTTCTACCATCACCTGTGCACCAACCAAATCCTCTTCTTCCGCTCGCTCTTACATCGGCCCTTCTGGATGGAGTCGTCCGATCCGGTATCGGCCGAGCGCTACAAGCGCTCGCGTGAGCTGTGCGTCGAGCTCGCACTCAGCGATCTGCGCAGTCGCCGGCTGCTTTCTCGTCGCATCCCCGTCACCATGCTCTGCCACTTGTACGGCAGCGCCTACTCGCTCCTCAGCATGAACACGATCATCGCCAGCGACATGCTGTTTGCGCTCGAGTTTGACGAGGCGCTCCACGGCGACGAGGTGCAGGAGCGCCTCGGCTACATTCAAGAATACGTCGCCACTGTCCGCGCCAACATCCAAGAGTCGCGCGGCGACCATCTGGCGGTGAAAGAGCTGTACGTCATGCGTTCTTTGCTCAAGCGGATCCAGGACAAGGTCGCTACTCTCAACCCACAAAGTGTCGGCTTCCAGGTGCTCGGCGTACGCTATCCAGGCGGATGTGCGGATCGGCTCGATATGACGCTCACAGAGCTGCAGAACGCGGCAAACATGTTACTCAACATGGCCCGCGCCGGCGTGCGCATTGACGACGCCACGCGGATTCCACCATCTGGCGAAGACAAGCCGCTCGCAGGAAGCCGGTCCGCGACCAGCTCCGGCGAATCCTCACACGGCATCGGTGCGGGCGCGGCATTGCCCACGGGCGATCAACAGACGCAAGGCTACTCTTCCCGCGCTTTTGGTTACTCTGGGACCGAGGCAGAGCTGGCGGGAGGTACGGCAAAGCTGGCAGGGGACGAGGACGGCATGCAGACGATGCTGGGCGCCGAGGGTCCAAGTGCGGTAACTCCGTCCGCCGATTCGTTGGATCTCTTTCTGTCCAACGCGGACGAGTGGCTGTCGTCGCTGCTCAACCCTGGCGCTGCGGCCTTCTCGGCGCCAAATCAGCCGCTCGATTTTGGATTCTCCCTCTTTTGATAGTGCAGTCGAATGGAGGATCGTTCCGCGTGTGTCCGCTCGTTGCAACATGTCTGTGCACCTACAGGGGCGATTTCGATGTGCGGAGCGCCCTGTGCGGACAGCCTCAAGCTCAGAACCGCAATGCCGCATGAGCCGAAAGTCAAGCTCAAGGTCGCCATCAGTGGCCACCGAGGGTTTAATCTCTTTCAAACTTACGATAGCCGCGCTCGTTTCGCACCGCAGCGACCGTTGAGATCAGGCAATCGACACTTGATCAGATCACACGTCAAAGGAAGCGACAGAGTACAGTTGGATGTCTGCAAACTGAGTCAAACAGAATTCCGAAGGGACCCAGCAGCGACATGGCTGGTTCGCTACGCAGGCAGTTCGCGCGCAGCTTGAAGGTAGCCGCACTCTGCACATTTGCGTCCTGCCTCGTCGTTGACCCAAGAGTCTATGATGGGCTTGAGCTGAGTGCCGAGATCGGTGCACTGGAACTTGACCTCCCTGACCAGCGTCGGTGTATCGCCGTGTGCTTGCTTGTTGGGACAGTACCATCGCATCGCGTCGGGGCTGCCCTCTGGCCGTGTGCGCTCGACGACGAGACCCACTGTGTTGGCGAAGCGCACGGGCGAGTGCGGTGTGTTGGCTGCAGAAAGCGAATGCAAATACGGATCAGTCGTCTCCTCATAGCTGCGGAAGAGTAGGGCCTCTGGAGACACTTACCTGGCAGCATGAACATCTCGCCTTCGCGAATGTTGATATCTTCAAACTTGCCGTCCTCGTTGATGACCTTGAGCAGCATGTCGCCCTTGTACTGGAAGAAGAACTCCTCGGTGGGCTGGTAGTGGTAGTCTGACCGCGCATTTGGACCGCCCACGGCCATCACCGTGTAGTCTCTTGTGCGGAAGAGGCAATAGTTGCCCACGGGCGGTTGAAGCAGGTGCTCATTCTCGGCGAGCCACTTTGGAAAGTTGAGCGGTAGTGGGAACGGCATCTTGTCAGACTATCTTCGATACGCTACGGAGATGGTGGATAAGATGCAAGACTACCAGCACATCCTTGCGAGCAAGGGGCTGCGTCGGGATGACGCGAGCAGGCAGGGTCCAGCAGCTCCTGTTTCAGCAGCCGGCTCATCTGCATTGCCACTTTCGAACCAGACGTTGCTGAGCCGGATGGCCATACGCCTTGCGCCCAGCCATCCATGCTGAGCTCACCGCCTCGCTTGCAGCCGCTCTTTTTTCCTTCCACTTCTTCTCGCTCTCTAACCGCTCCACACGACACGCCTCGGTCAGAGCCAAATCTGAGCAATCGGGGGAGGACCACTTCGAATCGGCGACGCGAGACCCGATGACGCAGCCACGGAGTAGTCGGTGTGGGGAAGCGAGGCGTAGCGAGGCGCAGCTGCAGGGCCACAGAAGCGTCGACGCGCCCTCGGCATGCGGATGCTCTTCGGTTCCGTTCCACCACCACGACATGCCATCGCTCTGAGTGCCGTCAGTCGGCAAGCATCATCATGGGTCGGCTCACACAGGCTCACTTTGACGACCTCTTCCTCAACAAGGTAAAGCAGGTCTGCGTCCACGTCCTCGACCAGCTCAACGAAGCAAACGAAATCGAACAGGCCTTCGACCTCTGTCCTTCCATCTCGAGACGCAACCGTGTCATCTTGTCCTTCCTGCACGATGCAGACCAAGTCGATGCCGCAGCGGCGGCCAGCTCTTCCGCCTCTCCTGCTGCACGCTCCGCCGCCTCATCTGCCTCGCCTCCCCTCGCCTCTCTTCGTCCTTCCTCCTCGGCCCTTCCATCGCGCCAGACCTCGCTGGGCACCGACAGCGTCGCCAGCCTATCCGCACAGCGCAGGAGGCGAGCAAGAGAGATGCAGTACGTTCGCGATCCTATCGATTCCGACGACGACTCCGACCCCCGCTCTGCGCCGGCTCCCTCGTCCATCTCCAACAGTCGCCTCGACCCTGCCTCGGCGCGCAATCCATCCATGTCTCAGCCAGATTACACTTTCGAACAGTTCACCGAGCATCTCGACCCTACCGATAAGCTGCTGAAGCGAAGCTTCGAGATCATCATCAAGGAGACCGCTCGTCAGGCTCTCGCCAAGAAGCGCAATTCCGATCACGACCCAGCCAGGGCTTCCTCCAGACCCTCGCACGACTCGGCAGCCTCGCTGCGTTCAGCTATCGCCTCCTCGCGATCAGATCGAAACACCATTTCCGACCGGGCTCGCACAGACATCGCGCTTGCTCGACGCATGGCTCGCGCGCTTGGTCCCGACTCGGACGTGCGCGGTCCCAATGCTAGCGCCATGAACCCCGACCCCACTTACGATCTCCTTCGCTCCATCGCCCCGCCTACTCGTGCACTCTCCAACCGCTCCTCCGCCAATGGTCAGCTCTCCCTCTCCTCGTACAACGCCCCTCAGCGCACCGCTCGTATCTCGCTTCACGAGTTCCTGCTCCCGTCAACGAATTCAGAAAGAGCGCTCTCCTGGCCAAGCTCGACAACGAGCACGGCCAACCAATCAGAAGCGCGCCTCGCACCGCCCTTCTCTCTCGAGTCGCAGCGTAGCGCACCGCCTCGCCCCTCGACTTCGGCCATGTCTGCACGCTCGATCAGCGCTCGGCTCGCCGAAGCTTCAAGACGCAACGCCGAGGCAGCCAGGACAATCGACGAAGCAGAACGTCTGAGGTCCAGCCAATTTATCCGCACTTCCATCGAGTCCTTGCGTGCCTCCCTCTTCCAGTTTCATATCGATCTGGCTTCCACGCAGCTGCAACATGCACACAATCATCACGTCGACCAGATTCAGCAGTCAAACAGCGACGATTCCGCTACCTCGGGTATCGGCTCGTCCTACGCTCTCGTCATGGACACCATCGAGCTCTTTGACGATACGCTCCGACGTCTCTCCTGCCTCGTCTCCAACAACGACCGCGACGACCGACGTGTCGCGCAAGCGCAGACGCAAGTCTCGAATACAGAGCGCAACACGGATTCGTCACAGATGCGCACCTCGCTGTGGAGAGCGCGCAACCTCTTGCTCCTGTCATCCATGTCGAGACGCTCTCAACATGCAGCAGAAGCGAGCGCCGGTGCTTCGCGATTGTCGACAAGCAATGTTGACGTCCAACTCAAGGCGCATCACCACCTCATGGCTACCATCGAAGAGTCGCATTGGACCAGACCCGACGTGCTGCCGCCTTCGGGTGCAGCAATTCGTACATGGCGACGAAAGGTGGCCGCCTGGTACCACCTCGATCGTGATCGCACACAGTATCCAGACGCACTCCACACTGCATCCGAGCCAGAGGAGGGCTACGCGCGGTGGCATCCTGACGTCGAGCTGGCGTATCCTCTGGATGACGAGATCCACGAGCCGTCGGCAGAAGCCGCAACATCCTCGCGCCCCGACCCGATCGCAGATCCGAGAGCGGCTTGGGCGTTTGCCCGTCAAGGCGACGCTTCGCTCTCAGGAGACCTGAACGATGATCCAGAAATTCGCGCTGCGCTCGATTCTGACGCTGTCAACACCGCTCACAGGCGTCTTTGCACCATCCTTGCTGAAACTGGTGGCGAATCTGTCAGGCAGCCTGATGCTGCAGCAGGCGGTCCTATCCCGGCGGACGGTCAAGGGGCAACGGCGGATGAAGCCAACTTGGAGGCCGATCCAGATGTATCGCTGACGCGCACCACGTCGCTGACGCGCCGAAACGCCGTTCGAGGCCTGCCATTGAACAACTCGGATGCCGGCAGCATCCGCTCCGCACGCACCTCGCTTTCTCTCGGCCGCGCACGCGACGCGGATCTGCCTACCAGCACGGCACGAAGAACTCGAACCGAGATCGCGGTGACGGCCGATGGCAACGGCGACGAGCTGGACGCCGGTGAAGAAGACTCTGTGGAGACGAGTATGGAGATCGGCACCGCGACGCGCGCTCCAATCAGCGAGGAGACAGTCGAGTCTCTGGCACCGCCTGCGGATCGACCGCGGGCGGGCCGCAGCGGGTCTTTCACCTTCATCACGACGCCGGCAGCCGTGCTGCGCTCGCGACAGCGAAGTCAGAGCCGCAGCCAAGCGGGACAGCGCAGCGCATCGCCTGCATCGGACGCACCCGATGAGGATGAAGTGTTGGACGGAGACGACTCGGAGGCCGAAGAGTACATCGACCTGGATCTGGACTTGGGCATGGCGGGCGAGGATGGATTCGATTTCGACTTGGTCGACTTCCTGCGCACTGAATCGCGACGTGCTGCGCGCGAGCACGACGACGACGACAGCTTGGACGTCGATACGGCAGATTCGCGACTGAGGCGACGATTTTTCAGCCGTGTCCAAGGCAACCTCAATAGGGGCGCGGGCGACGGCAGCAGCGGTAGCCAGGATGAAGACGAGGAAGACGGAGAGGCTGCATCGGGGATTCGTGTGTTCGTGTCGGGCTCTGGCGCGTCCACCCCGGCAGAAGCCAGGCAGGCTACGTTCGAGGCGTATGCTCAGCGCGCTCGCCTGCTCGAACGACGACGCAGGCTCGATGCCCCGCCGGCGCAGGACGAAGATGATGCCGACCCTTCGGATCGGCGTCGACGCACGGCTCGCAGCAGTTCGAACTCCGATGCACACCCTCGCAACTCACTGCCCTTCCCCCGCACTTCGGAGCGCTGATCAATCAGAATCGATTCACTCCCATTGCCTCTCGACGAGTCTGCCTCTCACTTTGCGAGCTGCGGCGGCGATGAGATGGAGCAATGGTTGAAATTCAAATGCTGGGCCGCGGCGTGAGGATGGCGGTCAAGCGTCAAATATGACGTACTGGTCCGAATCGGCAGTAGAGTACTGGACGACGGGCTTGGCCGAGGGCTGCGGGTGGAGGTCCACGGCAAAGTAGGCTGGTGTCTGGCCGGTGTACTCGAAGCCAGACTCGTTCTTGAGCGGGAAGTAGGAGACCGAAGGGGATCCGATGGCTTCCTGGAGGCGGAACCACTGGTGCGGGTCTTGATCGTCGCAGCTTGCCAGACTGAAGGAGCCGGTGCTCTCGGGAGGAGTAGCGGAAGCGGTGAGGCAGACGGAGCGCTGAGTGTTGGTGCTGTTGGTCTCGGACACATTGGCTACTACTCGACCCCAGTACTCGAGGGGGGCGCCCATGCTTCCGCCGGTGTTGCGCGTGTATCCCTGGGTAAAGCCCTGGGTGTTGCAGGTCTGGAAGTCGAAGAGCGCGGCGTCCTCCGAGGTGGTGAGCTCGGGCGTTCCCGAGGCACTGGGGGTGATGCCAAGGTAGGCGGTGGCCGAGTCGTTGTAGGAGCGCACTTGGAGCTTTTGGGGCTCCTCGAGGGCGAATTCGCCACAGAAAGCGGCAAGTCGCTGGTCGGAAGCAGGCTCAGCCTGCCTGCGCACCATGCGCGAGACAAAGAGAGGCTCCTCGGGCGTAGGCGCTGCGGTCACCAGCGATGTCAGCACGAGGCAGACAAGGGTCAATGCAATGTTCGACTTCATTCTGAACGTCCTGATCTGATGTTGTAAAGGTGGAGTGGGAGAGCGGCGTCTGTAGGGTGTGGTGGATGGAAGAGTTGAGAGGGAGAGTCCGAGGAAAGCAAAGTCTTTATGTTCTGGTTGGTGATGCGCAAAGGTGCTGCGCCCGAGACAAGCTCAAGGTTGGTGCGTGTGCGCAGGGCTCGAGCGTCGAAGGACGGTGCATGCTGGCGCCCGGAATGACTGGCTGCTGCGGTTGGCGGAGTTGCGCACAGCCGTCGGTTAGCGCGGAATGGAGTCAGAAAAGCGACAGCGAAGCAACAAAAGAGCAAACCCTGCACCGCCAGCACGGCTCGGAAATTTCATGCGCCAAGCCGTGCCAATCCTCCAGGAGGCGACTCCCCAACGCTCGCTTAACTCGGCCGCTCCAGTGCTCTGCGCAGCGAAAACGCGTCTGGCCAGCGTGTGTTGCTGGTCCAGCGCAAAAAGAAACGCGCGCAGCATGTCACCGTGCAGGCCACTGCAGGTGCAGCTGTCCCCACTTCACGCGCACCTTCTAGCACTCACTCTTGAGCTCAGTCGTGTCCCGCGGAAATGCAGCGAGCGGTGCTCAACTGAATCGCAAGCAATCGCAGCAATTTCCAAGCAATCACAGTATGCTACAGGCGGGTGCGGCGATGCGGGGAAGACGCCGACTCAGTCCTGGCCATTGACGGCGACGGTGACCTCCCAGAGCTCGACCTCTGCAAAGAGGAGGAGGCGGTACTGCCCCGAGGATGTCTGACCAGCCCAGCAGAAGTTGGCGACGCCCTTCTCTCCTGGAATGACAAACTTGCCGATGAGCTTGCCCGTGCCGTCGGGCTGAGGCTTGTAGACGTGGACACCATTGCCGTGGCCTGCCCAGACGTTGCCGTAGGTGTCTACGTGAATGCCGTCTGGCACGCCGCTGGTGGACTCTGCGAATTCGGTGCGCGAGCCGACGTCGACAGCCGGGAGGCCGTCCTTGGACTGGGAGTCCGGGAGCACCTTGTACGAGTAGAGGTGTGCGGGACCATTGTCGTCGACGTAGAACTCGCCTACGCTGTCGTTGCGGTGGAAGCGGAAGCGTCCGGTGTCCGAGGTGATGAGCAGACCCGAACCGTCGTTGGCGGGCGAAGGCACAAAGGTGACGCCGTTGGGTTTGGAGTAGTTGGAGTCGATAAGACGCACCTGGTTGGTGGACGGCTTCCACGTGTAGAGGGCGTTGGGGGCGTACGTGACGTCGGGCGACTTGAACGACTGCTCGATGCCGTAGTCTGGGTCCGTGAAGAAGAAGGAGCCCGACGAGGGATGAGGAACAGCGTCGTTGAGACTGGAGAAGGGCTTGCCTTCAAATTGCGAGAGCACGGCCTTGCCGGTGCGCTCAGCGACGTTGTGAACGACGAGCGAGGATGTGATGGAGAGCTTGTCGTGACCCTGTTCGCACCAGAGCACGCTATCTTGATCCCAGTGCGTGGCGCCGTTGGGCAGCGCGAGATGGTCGGGAAGCTGATCGACGACCTCGAGCGCAGACCACAGCGAGTTTTGCTGGTCGGGTGTGAGGTCGGGAAGCAAGCCGTTGGATGCGCGCTCGTCGGTGCTTGGAGGCGGAATGCTGTCGAGGGGTACGCCAATGATGCACGCGCTCTGCTGCACTTTTGGATGCGGAAGGCGGTTGGAAGAGAGGTACACCTTGTTGTGCTTGGCGAGATAGATGCCGGCCTCGTGGAACCGCTGCTGGCCTTCTGGATCGGTGAGGAGCTTGCGCATGGTGGCCGATGTTCCTGTGGGCGGGAATGGATGTCGACAAAGTGAGCATGTGTCCGGCGCTGAGTATGGATCAATCGGGTGCTCACCTGCGAGACGGTCAAACTCTGGGTCGAGGCTGACGACGCCGACTGGCTCGGACGATGTTTGCGATGACATTTTGCGTGGATACGGGGAGAACGATGAAAATGGTGGTGGTCGGTGAGGTCGGTATCGGTGAAGGAGACGTTGATGATGGCAGAAGCGAATATTGCGAGGGTGAGGTCGAGCATCCGAGTCGTCGTCTGTGGAGGAAGTGGGGTGCGGAGCGGATGCTGCCTAGTGGCGTAGCTGCTCTCGGTTCGGTCCGGTCTGGCTAGACGGACCGAGTTGGTTGGCGCACAGACGCTTCGCAACCGGGACGACGCTCTAACACTTTGAAAGTGAAAAAATTTGACCGGCATGAGACGCAGCCACCCGGATCGAGCCGGAGTGGATGCGCGTTGCCAAAGGCGGAGACGAAACATGGCGGACCGGTGATGCGGCTCTGCTTATGCAAAACAATGCGGACCACCGGACCGGTTCGGCTGGATTGCAGCTTCGAAAATCCAGTGTGGCGCCAGTTGGGATATTATTTCTCCGACACGCGATGCGCACCGGCACAGGTCATCGTGCCACGCTCCATTTCTACAGCGGCAGGCCAGCACGAACATGACCGACGGCACGCATCCTCCCGCCCGAAGCGAGGACTTCTCTGCAGGGCACGGCAGCGGCATCCACATTCACGCGTGCCAATACTGTAAACCGCTCATCCCAACCATCCGCACCGGTCCGCGCAGGCACGACCACGATGCCAACAATGTCCCGTCCCGTCAGCTGGCTGTTCGTCAACTTCATTTTTTTCATTTCATTCTCCAGTTTTTTTTACTTTTATCTTTTTCGACAGGTTCGCGTGGCGTTTGAAGGCAGACAGCAGCCGCCGATTCGATTGGCCGTGTTTGCTCGTTTGTGCCACCGTTACCCCGCATTCGAGACTCGTTGCCTCCCTCCCTAGACTCAAGCTCCCCACAATGCCCGCGCCATGCAGTTCTCGCACACACATTTGAACAGCCGTCCGTCTGCCCGTGCCCGAATGCTTCCGTTGCTCAACGCCTCGAGTCTCGGCCCTCCTGCCATTGCAGCGCGCAGCTTCCACCACATGTCCGGCCCGGTCTGCCGCTCCATCCACGCAACTCCGCTGGCTTTTGCATCCGTTGTTCCTCCCATTGGGCAATCCTGCCCTACCGCAAGTTCTCACGCCGGTTCCTGACGCTTGCCCTCTCACACTTGGCTGCATCCCACGCCGGCCCTCATCACACCCCACACACTCTCATCCGCTGCTCTGTGTACCCCTCGCACGCAGCCGCCACTCGGTCGGCATGAACGCGCCCACTCCACGCGCTCATTTCATCTCGCCCTGCGTCCACTCAATTATTAAATTTTCCTATAAGACCCTCTCCTCCATTTACGCTTGGGCCCCGCATCTCCTCTCCCCAGATCATCCCCGCATTCCTTCCTGATCTCGGCCTCTCCCTTCCGCGACCATCCCTGTCAACGCTGTCAACACCGTCAACGCTGTCGACGAGAAGCGACCATTGTGCAACCATGCTTTCCCATGCCTACACTCCCCGCCGCATCCACAACGACTACTTTGGTATCGATGTCGGACTCCGCGGCAACTGGCTCCTCACCGTAATCACCGCAAGCTGTGCCGCAGGCTTCCTTTTGGTCGGCTACGATAACGGCGTCATGGGTGGCGTCGTCGGCCTCGGCGAATTCAACAAGACGTTCAACAACCCAGACGCAAACACCATCGGCAACATCGTCTCCCTTTACGAGATCGGCTGCTTCTTCGGCGCCCTCTCAACCTTTGTCATCGGCGACTTCCTCGGACGCAGGCGTACCATCCTCCTCAGCTCGCTCGTTATGATTGCAGGCGCCATCATCCAGGCCGCCAGC